AAGACGTCTAAGAAGGTAGCGTGATGGATACACAGGTGATATATGCCACCAGCGTATCTGATACAAATTTATTCTCAAATAACAATCCGGCATCTTTCCACAATCAGTTGTTTAATCGGTTAGAATTAGATCCGATGAAATTGTATGAAATGTGCCTATGGAAATTACTTCTCTCTACATCTCATTATGTTATTAAGCATAATAATCCCAAGGCATATATACGTATAGGGCTTATGTGCGAGAATGATGTTGGATGAGTTATTTGTATTTAAAGTAATTATTATCATCCGAAGTTTTAGCTGGAACTATAAAAGAAATTAATCACTTGATCAATGTAGAAATACTTACTATATTTTCAAACAACACCAAACTGAGTTTTTTAGGAAAGGCGCTTAAACAATTTACGCCTAAATACGGAACAAAGTTTATTAAGTATGATTTTTCCTCTAATTCAAACAAGTTTAATACTGTGATTAGTGAGGAGAATATTAGCTCAGCGATGGGACAGAGAAACGTTTGTAGAGTTCATTATCATTCGGATGTGCTCTCGGGAAAGTGTTAGGTGTAGTTCCCGAATGTGAATATTTGCAAAGAGAAGAAACGCCTCGAGTGTGATTGACACGTGTCTCGTGCCACCAATGCCTAGAGGTGGGGTTGATATTCAGTGCATTTATTGTGATAAGATCTCTTTTACTAGATACGGCAATCAGTCCGCTAATATTTTAGATCTAATATCCCCAAATGGAAGTGACAATAGCAACAATAAGAAGCTTTACGTACGGCTTAACACCAATATGATAAACGGAGTCAGTATCACTATTAGAGATCAGGATAGGACGCCCATACATTTTGATGAACGTGGTTGTACCATAGCAGTCTTACATTTACGTCCTGTAGCAGGAGGTATATAATACCAGCACGTGATGTCTACTTTTCATTCGCCAGAAACAAGTGGTGAAATGCATGTCAACTTTATCCCCCCCTCTGTTGAGGAATTATACATACTGCTAAGCTCTTCTAAAGGAGGTTGGACTGATGATATATGGGTTTTCAACAGTAGTAGGCATTGTACACATGGAGGACAGATACTATCCTTTTTAAGCGGGATAGCGCGACGAGCGGCTCCCATTATAATGAGAACACTGACACCAGCCACGCTCAGCTAGGGGAGAAGAATGTGTTACATGACATTAATAATGACAAACAAACTTTCAAACAGTCTTCTAAGAAACGTGGAGTTGAATCATTGACAGGAGTATGGAAACAAATTATTGTGGAGAGGGGGGGGGGAAGAGTGCAGAAGAAAAAATTTAGTAAACATTCAACGATTTACTAAAGCAAAATATAATGATGTTTTTTTTTCACATCGTGACAACAACTGGGTACAACGCTCTAGGCCTTCAGGTGCCATTAGAACGCTATACTGCTGCAGTTAGTGAGGCTTTCCCTAAAGTATTTTCTTCCCAATTGGTGGAATCAACTATTGCAAGCAGACAAATAGTGGATATATACCTGTGAATTCTGGGGTGAATAAAAAGTTTACAGACACCTATTTGGAATTCATCGTAAAGGGAGTGAATAGTTAGCTGGTGAACTTATCATCTTATCCTCTATTGCTTTGGAGTTGTCTATTGATCTAACTGAAGAAGATGGAACAACCCCTTTAGGAGATGCTAAAAACATCTTGTTAGTGAACGGATTGTCGCAAACTCTATTCAAATCAGCTATTGTGTATTTTAATGAAACAGTAGTAGAAACTAGTTCCTTATTCTCATTCTGGTCATACATAAAGCTATTATTTATGATTTCGGGATGTAAAGCAACGTGCTATGATAAACTGTCACAATTTTTTAATCATGTTGATCCTAGTAAAATTGAAGCTGCTTATTTCACTAATGCTGCGGCAGGAGAGAAGCAAGCGGATGACAGATATGAAAGCAAGCGGAGTATATACCTGCTTCAACCTAATGTTGTATGCTACATCTGTTAATGAATATGTTTTGGATAATGTAGATATTAAAGTGTGACTTGAACTACAACCAGATATATGGGTTGTGCTCAGCGATAATGAACAAGCCAATTTTAAATATAATATCAGGTCCGCACGTCTGTGCATCGATAGGGTTGTATCCTATCCTGAGGGATTAATAGCCATTAATAAGGCCATGGTACAGAAAAACTCCCCTATTACTTATACTTTCAATAAAACTTTATATATAAAACTTACATATTTTGTATAGATAAGTGCTCGATAACTTTAGACCAACCATGGGGTACTGTGATACCCGAACATTGATATATGGTTATCCTTGATATGGAGGCAGTGTCTGGAGCGTATAATCGTAACCCTCTTTATTTGGAAAACTGTGAGCTTAGTAAAGTATTAATATCCCAGAATAGCACCAATATCGTCAATAACGGGTGTGACTTCCCTCATAACTGTGTCAAGTTGTATTACACATCATTACATGCCTTAGGGTTTGATAGACAATATATTGACTTATGATGCATATGTGAATGGCAGAATAATACTGGCCATTAATTTACAACCTGAAGATATAGACGACACCATCTCACTTGAAAAGAATGGTAATCTGAGGATTGCTTTGGAATTTAAATGCAGTGTAACTAGAAATAAAGTCATTCTAGTTTATGGATCTAGAACAGGAGTGATCAGCATTAACACAGAGCGATGAGTTATTTGCGATACAAGGGGATAAATATTATTATAATTATGAATTGTTTGGAAATAAATGAAGCGATTAGGAGTAATTTAGGTGTACGGGTGAATTATCAGAATGTTTCCTAGCTAATGATGTAATTGAAAATAGTGAGAAAGGTAAATAGACAGTCTGTGATGTTTATAATCAACACCCTAGACTCGGATTTCCATAATAAAATGGGGCATTGGATAACATTCTATGTATATAATAAGACTAAAGATCGAACCAAGATAGTTATACTAGAGAGTTATGCCAGTCCTACAATAGGAACATATTCAAGTCATTTCGAAGAGTTTATGTCATACTTCCAAGATTATGACTTAAATATTATAAAGAAAAGGATACAATCCCTAAACAGTTACTTTTGAGGGAATTATGGTGCTTCCCCCCTCCCAGGTGCTCGTGCACGGTTCTAGTCCCCATTTTCCCTACTGACATTGTATTAAACACATTCATCAAGTCTACAGATCGGTTTACTACGTTAGCAAGAAGGCACAATAAGGGGCTATCAAACCTATGACGGCTGTGACTGAGAAGCTAAAACAAAGAAGCAACCTTATTATTATTATTATTATATTATTATTATTATCACTGTAAAACGTCTTAACTGTTTCATAAACAATTAAATTATATAAATGCGTAAACATTTCCTAAGTATAGAGGAGGGTTTAAGAAATTGACAGATGATTGATGCCTGATAGGTGAAGAAGGGAGGAGTGTTACCGGATGTGGTGGTGGTGGTAGGGATATGAGTGAGGCCATTAGCCCAAACAGCTCACTACCCTCACACAGCCTATGGACAGCCTATGCGGTTCTCAGAGCACGAGAACAAATTGTTATAACCTCCTTAGCAGAGTGATAAGTGTTTTAGGGTGTTCCATACCCCCCATGCCCGTCCACCTCACGCTTTCAGGCCCCGGAAAGGGTTAATGAAGGAATCCAGATGACCTGCAGATAGCTTACCTACAAAAAAAAAAAATATATGTATTAAAGGAGGAGTCATGATGTGTCTGGTCGAGGTGTCCCATGTGGTAATGAAGCCAAGGCATCACCTTCAGCCCCTGCCAGGCGGCGTCCTCCGCGCCTGCCAGGTGGAGCCCTTTGCCCCTGCCAGGCAGCGCCCTACGCCCCCTGCCAGGCAGTGATCTCCCGCCCTGCCAGGCGGAGCCCTTTGCCCCTGCCAGGCAGCGCCCTCCCCCTCTGCCAGGCGGTACCCTATGACCCCTGTCAGGTGGTGAGCTCCCCCTGCCAGTCGCCGCCCTCCACCCCTGCCAGTCGCCGCCCTCAACCCCTGCCAGGCGGCGCCCTCCCCCTCTGCCAGGCGGCGCCCACCGCCCCTGCCAGGCAGCGCCCTACGCCTCCTGCCAGGTGGTGAGCTCCCCCCCCCCCACTGTCAGGCGGAGCCTTTTTCCCCTGCCAGGCGGCGCCCTCCCCCTCTGCCAGGCGGCACCCTCCCCCTCTGCCAGGCGGCGTCCTCCGCCCCTGCCAGGCGGCGCCACAGCCCCTGCCAGGCGGCGCCACAGCCCCTGCCAGGCGGCGCCGTCTGCCCCTGCCAGGCGTCACCCACCGCCCCTGCCAGGCGGCGCCACAGCCCACATCGCATATGGAAAAGGTTCTCAGCGACAATGACAGACCCTCCACAAGGCATCACCTTATCCTCTCCGAGGCCACTAAACCTTGACCTTCAGGTAAATATCTATTGCCTTACATTTTGTCTGTCTCATCTGTCACATCCGTCTGTGTAACATTGCCTTCCTTCTCTCAACCCGCTGTTGTCTTCCCCTCCCGTCTCCTCCCTCACAACCCCCCTGCGGTTTCCCTTCCCTCCCTCTCACACCCTGGGACTGTCTCTCCCTCCCTTCCTCTCACACCCTGGGTCTGTGTCTCTCTCTCCCTCTCTCACCCTGGTGCTCTCTCCCTCCCTCTCACACCCTGGGACTGTCTCTCCCTCCCTTCCTCTCACACCCTGGGTCTGTGTCTCTCTCTCCCTCTCTCACCCTGGTGCTCTCTCCCTCCCTCTCACACCCTGGGACTGTCTCTCCCTCCCTTCCTCTCACACCCTGGGGCTGTGTCTCTCTCTCTCCCTCTCTCACCCTGGTGCTCTCTCCCTCCCTCTCACACCCTGGTGCTCTCTCCCTCCCTCTCTCACCCTGGTGCTCTCTCCCTCCCTCTCACACCCTGGTGCTCTCTCCCTCCCTCTCACACCCTGGGACTGTCTCTCCCTCCCTTCCTCTCACACCCTGGGACTGTCTCTCCCTCCCTCCCTCTCACACCCACCTTCATCTTCTGGTACTGGGAGAAGACATCGTTGATGCTGAGGACGTAACCCATGTCCAACAACTCCCGCACGGTGTTGGGCAGCTGCTGCAGGCGGGGTATGGAGAGGAAGGCCGTCAGGTTGCCGCTGTACACCGCCACTACCACTATGGCCGCCATCCACGTCGCCGTCAGCACCATCCTCCCTCCTGCACCGCCAGGCTGCTGCTGCGAGCCTGCGCACGCGCTCTCATCAAACACCAAGTTCACAGCTGCGCTTTGTAAGATCTGACAACACTTAAGTGAACTCATATTCCTGTGAAGTGCCACTTGTGCAACTTAAACATTTGAGTGCACGACAACAAAACTTATGGACAAACTTGCCTATAAACAAAATAGTTTTAAAGCAAGTGGAGAAAGCCGTAGAGACGGTGCTGGCGGGGACCCTCCTCCTCCTCCTCCTCCCTTCGTCAGCGCCGTCAGCGCCGTCAGCGCCGTCAGCACCGTCAGGGTGGAGTGGCTGACTGCTCCAGGTGGCGGCCAGCGCCGCCCCCGCCAACACCAGGACCCCGGCGATCACACACCAAGTCTGCACAACCACCACCACCAGGTGCTTAAATTGAGCAAGTGTTCCTGTTACGGGTGCTGCTGAACTGATATGTTCCAGCAGACACCCGCATGGTGTTCCAGCAGACACCTGCATGGTGCTCCAGCAGACACCTGCATGGTGCTCCAGCAGACACCTGCACGGTGTTCCAGCAGACACCTGCATGGTGCTCCAGCAGACACCTGCATGGTGTTCCAGCAGACACCTGCATGGTGTTCCAGCAGACACCTGCATGGTGCTCCAGCAGACACCTGCATGGTGCTCCAGCAGACACCTGCACGGTGCTCCAGCAGACACCTGCATGGTGTTCCAGCAGACACCTGCATGGTGCTCCAGCAGACACCTGCATGGTGCTCCAGCAGACACCTGCATGGTGCTCCAGCAGACACCTGCATGGCGTTCCAGCAGATACCTGCATGGTGTTGCTACAACAAACACAATAGGGGGGGGGGTGCATATAGTTCATACAAAGCGTATGCACATACTTAAAGTATACCTATGGGTTGCAGTGTACTTGTAACCCAGCATTAGTTAAATACATAAAAATACAATCTCGTGATTTTATCTAAAACAATATCTAAAGTAAGAATATCTTAACCTAATATAAATGAAGTTTAGGTCTATAATGAAGGCAGACAAAGTATATCAAACAACAATGTTATAATTGACTAGATCACAGCAGTAAGACAAGGCCCCTCACGCGTGTGAGGGGTCCCCACACATCTGTGTGTGAGGGGTCCCCACACATCTGTGTGTGAGGGGTCCCCACACATCTGTGTGTGAGGGGTCCCCACACATCTGTGTGCGAGGGGTCCCCACACATCTGTGTGCGAGGGGTCCCCACACATCTGTGTGTTAGGGGTCCCCACACACGCTTGGCAACCTCTGGCCTTGTCAACGTTTCCTGCAACACCCATACAGCTGGCCCTGGAACACCCATCCACCTGGGCCTGGAACCCACCTTGAGCTGGTAGACTTGGAATAGTATGAAGGAGTCGTCCTGGAGCGAGGCTCCCTTAGTGATGAATCTGGTGTTGTGGATCCAATACCACTCCGAGAAGTCAAACACCTCCGCCCTCGACGGCAGCATTGACAGTGTCATCAGGGCCATGTCCGCCTCCTGCAGGAGAATGGGTAGTGGGAGTGTCTCTCTCTCTCTCTCACACACACACACACACACACACACACACGCACACACACACACACACACACACACACACACACACACACACACACACACACACACCTCAGTAGGACAGAATGGAATGATAAGGACAAAGCGGCAGTGAATGAAATACTAAAGGGGCCGGAGATGGAAGGGGCTGCACATAGCATTGAGAAGGTTTTTTAGGTTAGGCTGGTACAGCAAGGACAGAGACCACCTGGTAAAGACAGTATTTGCAAACGAGACCATGAAGGAAAATATTCTAGCAAGGAAGAGCCAACTGTAATGTGTGGGTGAATACAAAAAAGTATTCCTAGAGAGGGTCATGACGAGGGCGGAGAGAACCATAGTGGCAGAAGCAAAGAAGCGCAGAGTGAGAGGAAAAAACCAGGAAACCTGAGCTCCCAACACAACATCCCCAATGGTGAGGGGGAACCCACAACCAGCAACCCAGTAACACCAGAGGGGAGGGGAACACCACCACCCTCCTCTGCAGAGAACCCCCCCATACCCCAAACCCTGCTACACTTCCCCCAATCCCACCACACCCTCCCTCCCTCCTTTTCCTCCCTGTCCCTTTCTTACCCCTTCATCCCATTCTGTCCCTGTCCCCCCTTTTCTTGACCCCCACCCCTCACATCAATATCTTCTGATACCCTGTTAACCACCTCACAAATCCTCACACCTATGGAACAGCTTTCCCCCATCAGCAGAACACCCACCAAGAAATGGACATGAGAAGGAACAGAAAAAAGTAAGTCTCAAAGCAATGTACACTAACATAGATGGGATTACAAATAAAACAAATGAACTTGGAGAATGGGCACTAGAAGAAAACCAAGACATAATAGCACTCACAGAAACAAAGCTAAGGAAAACCATAACAAATGCAGTGTTTCCACAGGACTACAGTGTTGTGAGGGAAGAGAGAGAGAAGGAAGAGGAGGAGGGGTGGAGCTCTGTTGATAAGAAAAGGCTTGAGGTTTGAGGAGATGGTTATTCAGGGCTGTGAAAGTTTCAGTGACTACATAACAGGTGCCATAGCAATTGAAGAACTAAAACATATAGTCGTAGTCATATATAACCCCCACCAAATGACAGAAGATTCAGACAGGAATATGATAGAAACAACATGACTACCATTAATATAATAGAGAGAACAGCTTCTGTCACTAGCAGGAACGGATCTGGAGAAGAGACCCGCATGGAGGATCAGACACATGGAGAGCTTAGCTGATGGATGTGACGACAAGAAACTTTCTAAGTCAACACATCAAGGGACCGATAAGAATGAGAGGGGAAGATGAACAATCTATGCTTGATCTAATATTTACCCTAAATGAGTGGGATATAAGGGAAGATAAGTTGAAAGCTCCCTTGGGAATGAGTGATCACAGTGTATTGATCATTGAGTACCTGGTAGAGCTAAGATTTATCTCCCCCAAAAAAAGAACTAGGAAACAATGGGCTGGCGTACTGAAAGAGGAATTATGATAGATGAGAAGTTTCCTAAGGGATATACCATGGGACACAGAACTCAGAGCTAAGTCCGCCCAAGACATGATGGACTATGTCACTCAAAAGTATCAGGAGGTAGTAAACAGGTTTATCCCGGCCCAAAAGGAAAAATCCGAGAAGCAAAAGAAAAATCCGTGGTTTAATAGGGAATGTATGGAAGCAAAGGAGCTGAACAAAAGGGTGTGGAGGAACTTTCGTAATAACAGTACACCAGAAAGCAGAGAGAGATACCAGAGAACTAGGAATGAGTATGTTAGTGTGAGAAGAGAAGCTGAGAAAAAGTATGAAAATGATAAAGCAAATAAAGCCAAGACCGAACCAAAGCTACTCCACAGTCACATCAGGAAGAAAACAAGAGCGAAAGAACAGATGATGAAACTTAGAACAGGTGAGGACAGGTATACAGAGAACACAAAGAGGTGTGTGAAGAACTTAACAAGAGGTTCCAGGAGGTCTTCACAACAGAACGAGGTGATGTCCCTGCACTAGTAGAGGTGGCAGTAAACCAGGCGGCCTTGGAAGGGTTCGAAATTACAAGAGAGGAGGTCAACTGATGGGTCTAGACGTGAGAAAGGCTGCTGGTCCAGACGGAATCTCACCATAGGTACTGGAAGAGTGAGCAGCAGCACTTTGCTTGCCACTCTCCATAGTGTATAGTAGGTCACTAGAGACGGGAGACCTACCAGAAATATGGAAGAAGGCTAATGTAGTCCCAATATACAAAAAGGGTGACAGGCAAGAAGTACTGAACTACAGGCCGGTGTCCCTAACTTGTATGCCATACAAGGTGATGGAGAATATCATGAGAAAAACCTAGTAACACATCTGGAGAGAAGGAACTTCGTGACAACCCATCAACATGGGTTCAGGGAGTGTAAATCTTGCCTCACAGGCTTAATAGAATTCTACGATCAGGTGACAAAGATTAAGCAAAAAAGAGAAGGATGGGCGGACTGCATTTTCTTGGATTACTGGAAAGCCTTTGTCACAGTACCCCATAAAAGGTTGATATATAAACTGGAGAAATAGCCAGGAATAACTAGTATAGTGCTCCAGTGGAAAAGTAACTGGTAGGGCGCTCCATTGGATAAGGGAGTACCTAAGCAATAGGAAGCAGAGAGTTACAGTGAGGGGTGAGACCTCAGACTGGCGTGAAGTCACTAGTGGAGTCCCACAGGGCTCTGTACTTGGACCTATCCTGTTTCTGATATACGTAAATGATCTCCCAGAGGGTATAGACTCATTCCTCTCAATGGTTGCTGACGACGCCAAAATTATGAGAAGGATTAAGACAGAGGAGGACAGCTTGAGGCTTCAAGAAGACCTGGACAAGCTGCAGGAATGGTCGAACAAATGGTTGTTAGAGTTTAACCCAAGCAAATGTAATGTAATAAAGATAGGTGTAGGGAGCAGGAGACCAGATGCAAGGTATCATTTGGGAGATGAAATATTTCAAGAGTCAGAGAGAGAGACCTGGGGGTTGATATCACGCCAGACCTGTCCCCTGAAGCTCATATCAAGAGGATAACATCGGCGGCGTATGCCAGGTTGGCTAACATAAGAACGGCCTTTAGAAACTTGTGTAAGGAATCTTTCAGAACATTATATACACATATGTCAGACCAATCCTGGAGTATGCGGCTCCAGCATGGAGTCCATATCTTGTCAAGCATAAGACTAAACTGGAAAAGGTTCAAAGGTTTGCCACTAGACTAGTACACGAACTGAGGGGTATTTGCTACGAGGAGAGACTACGGGAATAAAACCTCACGCCACTGGGAGACAGAAGAGATAGAGGGGACATGATCACCACATACAAGATTCTCAGAGGAATTAATAGGGTAAATAAAGACAGATTTTTTAGCACAAGGGGCACACGTACTAGGGGACACAGGTGGAAATTGAGTGCCCAAATGAGCCATAGAGACCTTACAAAAGAATTTTTTCAGTGTCAGAGTAGTAGACAAATGGAATGCATTAGGAAGTGATGTGGTGGAGGCTGACTCCATACACAGCTTCAAGTGTAGATATGATAGAGCCCAGTAGGCTCAGGAACCTGTACATTACTTGATTGACCGTTGAGAGGAAGGACTATAGAGCCAGAGCTCAACCCCCGCAAGCACAACTAGGTAAGTACAACTAGGTAAGTACACACACACACACACACACACACACACACACACACACACACACACGCCTGGTATCCTGGTGGATAGCGCGCAGGACTCGTAATTCTGTGGCGCGGGTTCGATTCCCGCACCAGGCAGAAACAAATGGGCAAAGTTTCTTTCATCCTGAATGCTCCTGTTACCTAGCAGTAAATAAGTACCTAGGAGTTAGTCAGCTGTCACGGGCTGCTTCCTGGTGTGTGTGTGTGTGTGTGTGTGTGTGTGTGTGTGTGTGTGTGTGTGTGTGTGTGTGTGGTGTGGGGGAAAAAAAAGCAGTTAGTAAATAGTTGATTGACAGTTGAGAGGCGGGCCGAAAGAGCAAAGCTCAACTCCCGCAAACACAACTAGGTGAATACAACTAGGTGAATTCACACACACACACACACACACACACACACACACACACACACACACACACACACACACACACACACACACACACACACACACACACTGTGTGAATATTGTGCGAGGAGCCTATGCCACGCTTTCTAACTTCAGAATTGCATTTAAATACATGGATGGCGATATACTAAAGAAATTGTTCACGACTAATGTTAGGCCAAAGCTAGAATATGCAGCAGTTGTGTGGTGCCCATATCTTAAGCAGCACATCAACAAACTGGAAAAGGTGCAAAGACATGCTACTAAGTGGCTCCCAGAACTGAAGGACAAGAGCTACGAGGAGAGGTTAGAGGCATTAAATATGCCGAAACTAGAAGACAGAAGAAAAAGAGGTGATATGATCACTACATACAAAATAGTAACAGGAATTGATAAAATCGACAGGGAAGATTTCCCGAGACCTGGAACTTCAAGAACAAGAGGTCATAGATTTAAACTCGCTAAACACAGATGCCGAAGAAATATAAGAAAATTCACTTTCGCAAACAGAGTGGTAGACGGTTGGAACAAGTTAGGTGAGAAGGTGGTGGAGGCCAAGACCGTCAGTAGTTTCAAAGCATTATATGACAAAGAGTGCTGGGAAGACGGGACACCACGAGCGTAGCTCTACTTAGAGCTCCTGTAACTATACTTAGGTAATTACACACGTACACACACACAGGTGTAAACTGAGTACCACATGAGCCACAGGGACGTTAGAAAGAACCTTTTTCAGTGTTAGAGTAGTTAACATGTGGAATACATTAGGCAGTGATGTGGTGGAGGAAGACTCTATACACAGTTTCAAATGTAGATATGATACAGCCCAATAGGCTCAGGAATTTGTACACCAGTTGATTGACAGTTGAGAGGGGGGACCAAAAAGCCAAAGCTCAACCCCCACAAGCACAATTAGGTGAGTACAATTAGGCGAGTACACACACACACACACACACACACACACATACACACACACACACACACACACACACACACACACACACACACACACAGTAAGAAGGAGCTGGACACATACCCTGTGAGAAAGGGAGTTTATTAACTCGTGGATGGTCTTGAACCTGCTGGTGAACTTGGGCACGAAGTCCACCTTCTTCATGAAGTCCGTCACCATCTGGCCCAGGTACCCCTTCAGCACCTGCCTCCCTCCCTCGTCCTCGAAGGAGATCTCGTTGTTTCCCTGGCAACACACACACACACGCACTCAAGGTCTGCCACATGGCTCTCACGCACACACACACACACACACACACACACACACACACACACACACACACACACACACACACACTCAAGGTCTCCCACATGGCTCTCACGCACACGTTCTGATGTTCGCACTCACACACACACTCAAGGTCTGCCACATGGCTCACACACACACACACACACACACACACACACACACACACACACACACACACACACACACACACACACACACATGTTTACAGGCGTAGAGTCCTACATGTCGATGTTTGCGGATGATGCAAAGTTGATGAGAAGAGTTGTGACAGATGAGGATTGCAGGATCCTCCAAGAGGACCTGAACAGATTGCAGAGATGGTCAGAGAAATGGCTACTAGAATTCAACACGAGCAAATGTAAAGTTATGGAAATGGGACTAGGAGATAGGAGACCAAAGGGACAGTACACAATGAAGGGGAACAGCCTACCTGTAACGACGCGTGAAAGAGACCTGGGGGTGGACGTAACACCTAATCTATCTCCTGAGGCACATATTAATAGGATAACGACAGCAGCGTACTCTACACTGGCAAAAGTTAGAACATCATTCAGAAACCTAAGTAAGGAGGCATTTAGGGCGCTTTACACTGCCTACGTAAGGCCAGTCTTAGAGTATGCCGCCTCATCATGGAGTCCCCATCTGAAGAAGCATATAATGAAACTGGAAAAGGTTCAGAGGTTTGCAACGAGACTCGTCCCAGAGCTACGAGGGATGGGGTATGAAGAGCGCCTGAGGGAACTGTGCCTTACGACACTAGAAAGAAGAAGGGAGAGGGGGGACATGATAGGAACGTATAAGATACTCAGAGGAATTGACAGAGTGGACATAGACGAAATGTTCACACGGAATAGTAACAGAACGAGAGGACATGGATGGAAGCTTGAAACTCAGATGAGTCACAGAGATGTAAGGAAGTTTTCTTTTAGCGTGAGAGTAGTGGGGAAATGGAATGCACTTCAGGAACAGGTTGTGGAAGCAAATACTATTCATAATTTTAAAACCAGGTATGATAGGGAAATGGGACAGGAGTCATTGCTGTAAACAACCGATGCTCGAAAGGCGGGATCCAAGAGTCAATGCTCGATCCTGCAAGCACATATAGGTGAGTACATATAGGTGAGTACACACACACACACACACACACACACTCAAGGTCTCCCACATGGCTCTCACGCACACGTTCTGATGTTCGCACTCACACACACACTCAAGGTCTGCCATATGGCTCTCAGGCACACGTTCTGATGTTCCCACTCACACACACACTCAAGGTCTGCCACATGGCTCTCACGCACACGTTCTGATGTTCGCACTCACACACACACTCAAGGTCTGCCACATGGCTCTCAGGCACACGTTCTGATGTTCGCACTCACACACACACTCAAGGTCTGCCACATGGCTCTCACGCACACGTTCTGATGTTCGCACACACACACACACACACACACACACACACACACACACACACACACACACACACACACACACACACACACACACACACACACACACACGTCACGCACACACAAATACGTACACTAAGCGATATACTCCGCTTCTCTTTGTATATACACTGAGAGTATACTTTAGACCAGCACAGTTTGGCCAGGACTAAAGTGTACTTGCTGGCTGGTCAGTAAGCTGTTGAGGTGACCTTTATAACCCTCCAGAGCTTGAGACACCAACACCAAAACCAGACTTAATTAACCTGTCGTAGAATAGGTTAAATTGCATTGAGTATTTTGAGATACAAACAGTAACTTATCATCAGTTTAGACGGCACCAAGACGGGCCGGGAGGTCAGAGGTCAGAGTCTGATGACCAGCCGACCTTTGGGGGAGGAGGGTGGGGGGGGGGGGAACCAGGCACTTCTCGCCGAAATGTCGACACGAAGTGATGATTAAAACCGCTCCACCAACGGTGGAGTAATAGCAATCGTGATGCAATAGATCAATTAACTGCCTATTACGGTGAATAGTGTCTCAAATGAGCCAATTGGCGCTCAATTACCACCGGCTCAACAGTTCGACACGAGCCTTTAACGAGACACCAAGAGTGTCATTCACCACCTGCGGCCTCCATCAGTGAGCGTGTCAGTGGTTGTAAGGTAAACGACCGATGTCACAAGAGTGGGGGTCAACTGGCCAGTTACGTGACCATATTTAGATATTTATATATTACATCTTTGATTAATAGTTAAGCTGACCGTTTGCCACCTTGATCAGATAGGTTGTTGTGATTCGGTGACTCTCATACGAACGTCACACAGACACACAAACGTCACACAGACACAATCATCACACAGACACACAATCATCACACAGACACAATCATCACACAGACACACAATCATCACACAGACACACAATCATCACACAGACACACAATCATCACACAGACACACAATCATCACACAGACACACAATCATCACACAGACACACAATCATCACACAGACACAATCATCACACAGACACACAATCATCACACAGACACAATCATCACACAGACACAATCATCACACACACACACAATCATCACACAGACACACAATCATCACACAGACACACAATCATCACACAGACACAATCATCACACAGACACACAATAAACACACAGACACAATCAACACACAGACACACAATTATCACACACACAATCATCACACAGACACAATCATCACACAGACACAATCATCACACAGACACACAATCATCACACAGACACACAATCATCACACATGCACAATCATCACACAGACACACAATCATCACACAGACACACAATCATCACACAGACACACAATCATCACACAGACACACAATCATCACACAGACACACAATCATCACACAGACACAATCATCACACAGACACACAATCATCACACAGACACACAATCACACAGACGCAATCATCACACAGACACAATCATCACACAGACTCACAATCATCACACAGACACACAATCATCACACAGACACACAATCATCACACAGACACACATCACACAGACACACAATCATCACACAGACACACAATCATCACACAGACACACAATCATCACACAGACACACAATCATCACACAGACACAATCATCACACAGACACACAATCATCACACAGACACACAATCATCACACAGACACACAATCATCACACAGACACAATCATCACACAGACACAATCATCACACAGACACACAATCATCACACAGACACACAATCATCACACAGACACACAATCATCACACAGACACACAATCATCACACAGACACACAATCATCACACAGACACACAATCATCACACAGACGCAATCATCACACAGACACAATCATCACACAGACTCACAATCATCACACAGACACACAATCATCACACAGACACACAATCATCACACAGACACACAATCATCACACAGACACACAATCATCACACAGACACACAATCATCACACAGACACACAATCATCACACAGACACACAATCATCACACAGACACACAATCATCACACAGACTCAATCATCACACAGACACACAATCATCACACAGACACACAATCATCACACAGACACACAATCATCACACAGACACACAATCATCACACAGACACACAATCATCACACAGACACACAATCAATCATCACACAGACACACAATCATCACACAGACAATCATCACACAGACACACAATCATCACACAGACACACAATCATCACACAGACAAAATCATCACACAGACATACAATCATAACACAGACACACAATCATCACACAGACACACAATCATCACACAGACATACAATCATCACACAGACACACAGACGTCACACAGACACACAATCATCACACAGAGACACACCTTCATCACACAGACACACAAATGTAACACAGACACAATCATCACACAGACACACAATCATCACACAGACACACAATCATCACACAGACACACAATCATCACACAGACACACAATCATCACACAGACACACAATCATCACACAGACACACAATCATCACACAGACACACACTCATCACACAGACACACAATCATCACACAGACACACAATCATCACACAGACACACAATCATCACACAGACACACAAACGTCACACAGACACACAATCATCACACAGAGACACTATCATCACACAGACACACAATCATCACACAGACACACAAACGTCACACAGACACACAACCATCACACAGACACACAATCATCACACAGACACACAATCATCACACAGACACACAATCATCACACAGACACACAATCATCACACAGACACACAATCATCACACAGACACACAAACGTCACAAAGACACAATCATCACACAGACACACAATCATCACACAGACACGAACGTCTGTGTGATGTTTGACACCATCCATCATGGCAGCACACCCGTATACATGTGTGTATAGGTGGTGGGCAGCACACCTGTATACATGTGTGTATAGGTGGTGGGCAGCACACCTGTATACATGTGTGTATAGGTGGTGGGCAGCACACCTGTATACATGTGTGTATAGGTGGTGGGCAGCACACCTGTATACATGTGTGTATAGGTGGTGGGCAGCACACCTGTATACATGTGTGTATAGGTGGTGGGCAGCACACCTGTATACATGTGTGTATAGGTGGTGGGCAGCACACCTGTATACATGTGTGTATGGGTGGTGGGCAGCACACCTGTATACATGTGTGTATGGGTGGTGGGCAGCACACCTGTATACAAGTGTGTATGGATGGTGGGCAGCACACCTGTATACATGTGTGTATGGGTGGTGGGCAGCACACCTGTATACATGTGTGTATGGCTGGTAGTCAGCACACCTGTATACATGTGTGTGTATGGCTGGTGGGCAGCACACCTGTATACATTTGTGTATGGGTGGTGGGCAGCACACCTGTATACATGTGTGTATGGCTGGTAGTCAGCACACCTGTATACATGTGTGTGAGTATGGCTGGTGGGCAGCACACCTGTATACATGAGTTTATGGATGGTGGGCAGCACACCTGTATACATGTGTGTATAGGTGGTGGGCAGCACACCTGTATACATGTGTGTATAGGTGGTGGGCAGCACACCTGTATACATGTGTGTATAGGTGGTGGGCAGCACACCTGTATACATGTGTGTATAGTTGGTGGGCAGCACACCTGTATACATGTGTGTATAGGTGGTGGGCAGCACACCTGTATACATGTGTGTATAGGTGGTGGGCAGCACACCTGTATACATGTGTGTATGGGTGGTGGGCAGCACACCTGTATACATGTGTGTATGGGTGGTGGGCAGCACACCTGTATACAAGTGTGTATGGATGGTGGGCAGCACACCTGTATACATGTGTGTATGGGTGGTGGGCAGCACACCTGTATACATGTGTGTATGGCTGGTAGTCAGCACACCTGTATACATGTGTGTGTATGGCTGGTGGGCAGCACACCTGTATACATTTGTGTATGGGTGGTGGGCAGCACACCTGTATACATGTGTGTATGGCTGGTAGTCAGCACACCTGTATACATGTGTGTGTATGGCTGGTGGGCAGCACACCTGTATACATGAGTTTATGGATGGTGGGCAGCACACCTGTATACATGTGTGTATAGATGATGGGCAGCACACCTGTTTACATGAGTGTATGGATGGTTGGCAGCACACCTGTATACATGTGTGTATGGATGGTGGGCAGCACACCTGTATACATGTGTGTGTATGGATGGTGGGCAGCACACCAGTATACATGTGTGTATAGATGATGGGCAGCACATCAGTATACATGTGTGTATAGATGATGGGCAGCACACCTGTATACATGTGTGTGTATGGCTGGTGGGCAACACACCTGAACGTAGGTCCAGCCAACCCCAGGCCATAAGTGCTGTTCCTCTCCATATCTAAACACATCTGACATACATGCCGTAACTAGCTGTAAGTTGACGTATGTTACTTCCTCATTATAACTAGATGATTCGCTAGTTCCCTTATATTGCTAAAACTGTTGTACTGTTGAACTGCAAGTTTGTCATGCTAACTACAGCTGTATGTCTGGCAGCGGGAACCGGGCCTGTACGACTCTCAATACCTGAATGTAATTGATATAGGTCTCACCCTCTGCTTGTATATAGTGTGTCAGAGTGTGAGTATACCTGTCACGTTGTACACCTGTCAGTGTGAGTAATCTGTCACACCTGTCACGTTGTACACCTGTCAGTGTGAGTAATCTGTCACACCTGTCACGTTGTACACCTGTCAGTGTGAGTAATCTGTCACACCTGTCACGTTGTACACCTGTCAGTGTGAGTAATCTGTCACACCTGTCACGTTGTACACCTGTCAGTGTGAGTAATCTGTCACACCTGTCACGTTGTACACCTGTCAGTGTGAGTAATCTGTCACACCTGTCACGTTGTACACCTGTCAGTGTGAGTAATCTGTCACACCTGTCACGTTGTACACCTGTCAGTGTGAGTAATCTGTCACACCTCTCTCGTTGTACACCTGTCAGTGTGAGTAATCTGTCACACCTGTCACGTTGTACACCTGTCAGTGTGAGTAATCTGTCACGCCTCTCTCGTTGTACTCCTGTCAGTGTGTGTAGTCTTTCACGCCTGTCAACACACTCGTCAAAGCCCAAAGCTAAGTCACTTTAGCTTACCGTGGGGATGGCTATAGTGAGGTTGGCGCCCCTGAGTGAGGTGATGGGGGGCAGGAGGATGGGTGAGGTGAGGTGCAGGCGACCCCCCCGCCAGCACCCAACACTGCGCACCACTTGGCCTCTGCGTTCCACCACCTGCGCAGCCTTCACCAGTCCTGCGCACCGTGCTGACGTCACCTGCGCCTGTCGAAGCCACGGCAAGAGTCTCCAGGTATTAAATGTTCGTTGTTCCGCTGTTGTTTATTTCCTTATTGGTGTGCGTCTTCTGACAACGGAGACGTGGGAGGGGAAGACTTACCTCCGGGGTCTCCTGGAGTAGGAGGAGGCGGAGGCCCAGAGGAAGGTGAGGGGTGAGGCTCGATGTCTTCAACTCTCCGCCGACGGGCGCCAGCACCAGAGTATCCCGCTATGGGGGGGGGGGGAAGAGTGAAGCGAGTTTACTGGAGGTGAGGTCAACCAGCTGGGCTCTAGGAGAAGCCTGAGCACCGTGTATGTGGTATATGCTAGTCAACATACTGCCTACTTACCCATCCAAACACTCCTCGGGACGTCAGCTGCAACAAGACGTAAAATGTTTGTAATAAAATGTATTCTCCCAAACATTATAGCATATAAATGAGAGAGAGACAGAGACAGAGACAGAGAGACAGAGAGACAGACAGAGAGAGAGAGAGAGAGAGAGAGAGAGAGAGAGAGAGAGAGAGAGAGAGAGAGAGAGAGAGAGAGAGAGAGAGAGAGAGAGAGAGAGAGAGAGAGAGAGAGAGAGAGAGAGAGAGAGAGAGAGAGAGAGAGAGAGAGAGAGAGAGAGAGACGTGGGGTTGTTTTAAGCGTAGGTTAGACATACGTAAGTGTGCGTTTGGAAGGGTAATACAATTAAAAAACATAAACAGGAGACGCCTCTGTATGGAGCAATAGGCTTTCTGCAGTTTGCTATGTTGTTATGTAACCAGATAGGGTGATGCAGACATAACAGATGAGTGACAGACACACGTAGAACTGACCTGTAGGGTCACCTCCGTCACCCACTTAGCAGGCCCTACCACCAGCACCACCGTCTCACGCCTAGGAACTTCCACCCATTCGTGCAAGAATCTCCAGTTGACGGTCGGGAAGAGAATGTTTCCCTGTGAGTCACTTCCATCTGATGAGTTTGTTGACACTGTGAAGGAGAGTGTATGGTGACACTGTGAAGGAGAGTGTATGGTGACACTGTGAAGGAGAGTGTATGGTGACACTGTGAAGGAGAGTGTATGGTGACACTGTGAAGGAGAGTGTATGGTGACACTGTGAATTAGAGTGTATGGTTTCTTACTTTATATTTGTCTGGTTACCATGCACTCATTATTTGACTTTATTTCTTTGGTCTCTTTAACTATCTCTCTATGTCTGTCTATCTGGCTCTGTCTGTCTGTCCGTCTGTCTCTCTCGATATATAATTATAAATTCCCTTATGTACTTAAAAATTTGTTGTTCTGTGTACAGTTCAAAATAAATCTCTTCTTAAATGTATAACTTTTTCATTTATCCAGTAAAAAGAAAATCATAAAATAGCTGCGAATTGATATTTAAATTAGTTTCCAATTTCAAAAACCTTATTAATTTATGAAGGTAATAATGGCATCCTAACTCAGATCATTATTCATGTCCCCTAACTCCCCTTGCCACTTCTGGGGGGGTGGGGGATATAAGGTGTTTATGTGGCTTCAGGGCACCAATCCCCCCAGCCACTGGGCATGGCCAGAAGGCACCCCTAAGCATACCTAATTCCCTATCAAACACAAACTAAAATACACATAAATGACAGATCTCATCACAACCCACAAGAGTTAAGATGATACTAATAACACACAATAATAACATACACAAAATGGAAAATTCTTTTATATTTCGTTTTTCTTATATGGGACACGGAACACAAAAGGAGAGGTGCACAGTATATCATTAAAAAAGAACTGAAGCTGAAGGCAAAACAACAAGCTGCCTAATCGGCAGGATTGGTGACTTGATATCGGCATACATGGGAAAAAACTATTCATAGTGGAAGCTCCTAACAAGGCCCCGGAGCGGGAGGGTTGTCATGTATGGGCATGGGGGTCCCTCTGGCCGCCGCCTTACCCACTCGTAGGCTCTGGCCAGGTCATCCACTCTCTTGTGAGAAACCATTTTGAGAAGTGGTAATCCAGATGAGGACTCTGCTTAGATAGTTGGCTGCCAGCTATCCTGGCTGCGGTTCACCTAAACAAGACTCTATTGACCCTTATGCACCTTGTGCATGGTGATCCTGGGACTAAGGTGGTCTGCCCCCTTGATGTGGTCTTGGACCATATTCTATAGATGGAATATGTCCACGTCAGGGCTTTCACAGAGCAAATCTCAAAGTCGCTCTTGGTGAGTCCCATATCCTGAAGATCACGCACACTCTCTTTGCACCATCCTCCTCTCCAATTATGGGTTGTCGAAAAGGCGGATGCTGTGTGCTTCCCGGTATATTTCCTGACCTTTTAAAGGATCTCTGGGGTGCCGTACTTGTCACACTTGCTCTGATGTGGACGGGAGAGTGGAAAGTTATCAGCTGAGACCTGGGTGTCTAATATAAAGGCCTCATCACCTTTGCAAGTTATTATGTCAGGCTTGCAGAAGGTCCCTCCATCCAGTATACAGACTTAACGTTCCACCTCATAACCTCTTTGCCGCAGGCTGCCGGCTACGAACTGGGTGATATCGTCATGACGTTTCACCCGAGCCTCATGTGTCTTGTAACATGCCTGGGATATGTGGCCCAGGGTCCCTGGTTTCTGGGAAGCATCGAAGAGACCAGAACCCTAGCTGCTCTAGATGGAGTGAGATGGAGTGCTCTAGATGGCCCTAATCTGGATGGCATGTGCAAAATCTCCTCCGCTTAGCAGACGGGTACCGGATGCGACCCACTTGTGGCAAGATGGAACCTCACAAGAGGATGCAAGGCCGGTACCATCAACCATGCTATACTGTTTTGCTTTCTACCTTCTAGAGCGCTCAGTCGTTCTGTTAGAAGGGGTTCCTGCGGCCGAGTCGGGTCTACCCATCGACGCATTCGCGCTTGGAACGCGGGTAGGAGAGCTGCTGCCACTACCACTGGATCCTCCGACTCTACCAACATCCTGAGCCGCTTGTTCTTCTGTAGGCAGATTGATGTAGCAAAGTCGGGAATTCCTAGTCCACCGTCCTTCACGTCGGCATAAAAATAGGCATTAGAAGTATCATGAGGCAGCCGCAGTCAGCCACGAATGACATGCCGCAGCCGCCTGTCAAGCCTCGCTAATTCCATCTTAAATACGCGTCCGAGAACATGTCGGCGGTTCACTTTGGGAATTAGGTGGTGTTTTAGTAGGTATAGCCTCTGTTGGAGTTTGAGTGGCGCCTTGGTGATGTTAGTCAGGCCGTCCTCAAACAGGGAACCGTAGGAAAGGCGTCTGCCCCCGGCCCCGATAAGTATTCCTAAATACTTATACTCGTCCGCCACACTCATAGTATTGATTTCGTCGTCCCCGACGTAGTATGCCCTCCTGGTGGGGACATGCCACGTCTTACGATGTGCATCGATCGCTATGCTTAGCGTACGGCATTTTGCAGGATTTACTTTAATACCAGAGCCACGCAGTGTGTGGCAAATACTTGTTATAAGTTTCTGTAGTCCGGCAGTCGTCTCTGGTGCTACAACCAGATCGTCAGCGAATGCCAGTGCTGATACCTTTTCGCTCCCCTGTCCTACCCCTAGCCCCAAGTCCTTAGCCCTGGTAGTTGCCTCATCAAATATTAGGTTGAAGAAAAATGGAGACAGTGAGTCACCCTGTTTCACTCCGCTAGTGATCAGGATGTCCTTCGACTTCTCCCCTTAGATGGATATTACGGTTGAGGACCGATCATAGCCCGACATTATGTATTTCCTTCGGACTGCCTTTTCGGACATAATGGCTTCGGAATGCCTTTACATTTCATGGCCTGATGGGTGGCCGGATGAATATCCAGATATCCAGAAACGCTAGGTGCGTGTTCTGCTTGAGCGCACGAGCCTCAGCTAGGAGGGCATCCAGGATCACCAGGTTTTCAGGGCATCCATCCACAGGGACGAAGGCCTTCTGCCGCCTGTCGATCCTGACTGCCTCGGAGAGGCTGCTGCTCAGAATCTTATAGAACAGCCTCACTATCGTAGATGACATGGTTATGGGGCGATAATGGGAAGGAGAGTCTGGGTTAGGTTTCTTAGCTCATAGCACTGTCTTATTCTTGTGAAAGGGTTGTGGCAAGGATTCGTTTACCAACCACAGATTAAACAACTTTGCAAACACCCTGATTGGTATAGCTTTAAGTAAACGTATAATGATACCGTCTGGGCCGGGAGCAGCAGTGCTACTTGTCTTGAGAGCAACAAGGATTTTCTCTGGTGTTATAGGGTCCCCTAGTTGCTGATTAACTGGATCACGGCCACGAATTGGGCGGCGTTCCGGTGATGTGGGTCTAGAGAAGTGTCTCCCAGAACGTTATATCTCGTATACTAAATACTGGCGAGGCTCCCTGTGACCTAGGCTTCAGTGTGTTTGTGTGTGTTTGTGTGTGTGTGTGTGTGTGTGTGTGTGTGTGTGTGTGTGTGTGTGTGTGTGTGTGTGTGTGTGTGTGTGTGTGTGTGTGTTTTATTCACCTAGTTGTGCTTGCGGGGGTTGAGCTCTGCTCTTTCGGCTCGCCTCTCAACTGTTTCTACTACTACTATTTTTTTCCACACCACACACACACACACACCCAGGTTGCAGCCCGTGACAGCTGACTAACTCCCAGGTACCTATTTACTGCTAGGTAACAAGGGCATAGGGTGAAAGAAACTCTGCCCATCGTTTCTCGCCGGCGCCCGGGATCGAACCCGGAACCACAGGATCACGTGTCCAGCGTGCTGTCCGCTCGGCCACCTGCTCCCTAACACACACACACACTCTGTGTGTGTGTGTGTGTGTACTCACCTAGTTGTACTCACCAAGTTGTGCTTGCGGGGGTTGAGCTCTGGCTCTTTGGTCCTGCTTCTCAACCGTCAATTAACAGGTGTACAGATTCCTGAGCCTATTGGGCTCTATCATATCTACACTTGAAACTGTGTATGGAGTCAGCCTCCACCACATCACTTCCTAATGCATTCCATTTGTCAACCACTCTGACACTAAAAAAGTTCTTTCTAATATCTCTGTGGCTCATTTGGGCGCTCAGTTTTCACCTGTGTCCCCTTGTGAGTGTGCCCCTTGTGTTAAATAGCCTGTCTTTATCTACCCTATCAATTCCCTTGAGAATCTTGAATGTAGTGATCATGTCCCCCCTAACTCTTCTGTCTTCCAGCGAAGTGAGGTTTAATTCCCGTAGTCTCTCCTCGTAGCTCATACCTCTCAGCTCGGGTACTAGTCTGGTGGCAAATCTTTGAACCTTTTCCAGTTTAGTCTTATCCTTGACTAGATATGGACTCCATGCCGGGGCTGCATACTCCAGGATTGGCCTGACATATGTGGTATACAAAGTTCTGAATGATTCTTTACACAAATTTCTGAATGCCGTTCGTATGTTGGCCAGCCTGGCATATGCCGCTGATGTTATCCTCTTGATATGTGCTGCAGGAGACAGGTCTGGCGTGATATCAACTCCCAAGTCTTTTTCTTTCTCTGACTCCTGAAGAATTTCCTCTCCCAGATGATACCTTGTATTTGGCCTCCTGCTCCCTACGCCTATCTTCATTATATTACACTTGGTTGGGTTAAACTCTAACAACCACTTGTTCGACCATTCCTTCAGTCTGTCTAGGTCTTCTTGAAGTCTCAAACAGTCCTCTCCTGTCTTAATCCTTCTCATAATTTTGGCATCGTCCGCAAACATTGAGAGAAAACAATCTATATCCTCCGGGAGATCATTTACACATATCAGAAACAAGATAGGACCGAGTACTGAGCCCTGTGGGACTCCACTGGTGACTTCACGCCAATCAGAGGTCTCACCCCTCACCGTAACTCTCTGCTTCCTATTGCTTAGGTACTCCCTTATCCACTGGAGCACCTTACCAGCTACACCTGCCTGTCTCTCCAGCTTATGTACCAGCCTCTTATGCGGTACTGTGTCAAAGGTTTTCCGACAATCCAAGAAAATGCAGTC